CGAGGACTGAGTTTGGGTGCAAGTTTTCTGGAACGTTTATTATGATATTCCATTCATTTTTTAATTTTTTTGTGAACGAACTGCTATCAAAACTCAATATAGTAATGTTTCTCGAATTTGTACTAAAAAATCCTACTTCTTTAGGTATTCCAATCAATATCCAAACAATTTGCGAATTTATAAGAAATTTATCCCTAAAAACATTTTGATAAATTAAAGATGATGTATTAATATAATGTAACACGGTAATAAAATGGATACTTACTTAACTATGCCAAAACTTTCAATTATTGCCGAGAATCCATATACATTTAAAGATTTAAATGTTACAGCTACTTTATCAATTGGCATTCCATCTTTTTTTATAAGTTTTCCAAAAATTTGATAATTATTAGATTCTAAATGATTATCACTATCGGGAAAAAAGTTTACACGATAATAATTGATGTCTTTTTCAGTTGGTATAGCGCCAGTCATGAGTACTTTCTCTTTAATTTTAGAGTAATCAACTCCAAGAATAGATTCAATGTCTTCACGAAGAGGGTTGTCAAATATTTCATATAATGGATATAAATCACACCAATTAATAATTTGTAAAGGATAAATGTTTCCCTCTAAGCAAAATTCAACCCATTTTTCAAGCTTATCTCTCATTACTGTTTCACCATCCAGAGATATAAAATATTTTGTATCAAAATCATATTTTTCCAAATAACTTTCCCAGTGTTTTATCAGCTCTTCAAATTTACTTATCTTAAAGTCATGTAATGTTTCCCATTCTACTTGCTGAATGCTTATGATCGAATTATTATTTTCATGATTAACTAACAAGTGTGACTTCCTATATAATTTATGACCCATAACTATTTTTTGAGGTAAGAAATGTCCATAAACGTCAAATACTTTTATCAATTCTTTGTATGGATTTTTATTCTCTAATGCCTTTTTTACTTCATCTTCTAAATCTTTAGAGGGACAAATTGACTTTTTCTCAAAGATCAATTCAACTAACGAGCATTTGATTTCTAGATAAATATCATAAACTGGCGAATTTTTTATTATAGAATTCTTATTAATAATGTCTGTATTATATTTAAATCCAGCAAAATTTGGATCATTAATATGATTCTCTAACAAAATGGAATCTATCTTCTTTGTCAGTATGTTTAACTTTGCTTTAAATTTTTTTGATGATTCGTCTAAAATGTTGATATGAAGTTCTGTATCAGTAATAAACGTAGGAAAATTTGATGAATATATGTTTTTCTCTGCGAATATAAGACCATAATTCACATTTTGTTTTTTAATCCAATTTGGCAGCTGTTCAATAGTTTTGATATTTTTAAACTCTTTTTCAAGATATTCCTTAAACTTGCTATTCATGATGTACACGACGGTAATTTAAGAACAAGAGTAAAATTTAAGGTTTCACATTGTTGCAGCTTATCACCGTTTGCGTGTTACAGAACTTAATTTGGAGTACAGTGAACATTAAAAGCAAACCATTTAGTGTGTACGTACGAAATTCATTTGCATACTGCATTTATCGTAAATGGCTCAGAAAAATACTATAATAATAGTTTTTGATTACGTTGATGATCAAACTACGAATATTAGTTTAAATATAACAGAAAAACTCGCCGTAATTCGAAAAACATTGTGCAAGAAACTACATACAGCTGACTTTGACTTTTATAATAATTTGATCAAAATTAACAGAGATACAGAAGCTGATACGGATTTAAAAAGTATTCTAACAAATAAAGATACTTTATATATATCTACGTGTAGTTTGCTTAATTTTCTTAAAGTTAAAATCGTAGTAAATTCATCTGATAATGTGAAAACTTCAATATCTCGCACATTGCCTATAAATGAAAATCTCAAGAAAATTCGGAAAAGGCTTAATGAAGGAGAAGACGAAATACTCAAAATTGGGTCGAATGGCTATTTTCGGAATAAGACAATGCTCATTTCGCATAATGACGAATATACTACAAAGTTATCTGAAATTTTACAAGAAAGCAATAATGAATTTATTTTGCAAATTGAACAAAAACGTGGTCTCGATTGGACAAAATTAATCAAAAAATTTTGTTATGGGTTCGTATTTAAGGACGACCGTGTTGAAGAGGCACCTAAACAAGCATTCGAAGTTGATGTTGATAAAGTCGTATCAAAAAAAGAGATTAAGCCACCCGACAAAATTGATAAACTTGAAGAATGCGAATTTGAGTTGGATACTTTGTGTAAGAAAAATTTCATATTATATGGTAGTATTAAAGCGATATCACCTTGGCTTTCTGTGTTTCTTGGTGTATCACATCAAGAATCAAAATGCAAGCTAGAAAACTGCAAAAAATCTACAATTTATTCGATTACTAGAGCAAAAAGGGCGTCTATTGCTTTATCAAAAGAAAGCATCCGTTTAAACCCTGATTTTATTTATGAAATTGAAAAAATACTGGACGATAATGAATCAAAAGATGTTGATAAACTAGAAAGTCTTCGTGAAATATCAAAGAAATACGGACATTTCTATGCAAGTTACATTGCTTTTGGCGGAGCTACAGTTAAGAAGCAAATAAATGTCAAAAGTTCGAGTAAGTAACAAGGCAATAAGTAAAAATTTAATTATATAATTTCACCGTATTTTTCTGTTTTTCTATTTAGATGAGACTACAAAAACCAAAACTAGCAATGTCAACATTGCAATTGATACTATTGTGCATAATGGATCTACACTTGAGACAGAGAATAAAACAAAAATTTCTGGCGATTATAAATACTCTGTAGAACAAATTATTGGCGATGAATTGAGTGAAAATTATGAAGACTGGGGCATAATTGAATATGATGGCATTAATCCAATATTTGATTTATTAGATGTTAAATTACAAAAGAGAATCAAAGAAATCTTGGGTTACAGAATTTTAAAAGGTAATAATATATACATTGTCAATATGTTTTTATAAAATTATATCAATATAAGTATAATTATTTTTTTCCAATAGCAAATGTTGAGGAAATCAAGATTGATTGGAATATATCAAAAAAAAGACCATATGTCCATCAATTTGCGGACAAGCTGCATGAAATTCCCAATAGACATGAATGTCAGATTTTTGCATCAATAATGAATAAAGAAGACGAGAATGTATTTTCATTACGTGTAGATTATGAAGATAGACATAGCCCTATAATTTTGGTTCACCTCATCGCTAGTAAAAAAGAGAAAAGCAAAAAATATTCGACACGAATCGGTTGGATTGTTGTCGGTTATCCGATAAGCTTTGATTTTGATCAAGCTGAATATCCAGTAACGCTTAAAGGTTATAGTCCTAAAATTTCAAAATTTAATGGTCAATATATAGCAAGGATTCCAGATACTAATAAAATACCACATTACCTGAAATCTCGGATGCTGAGTACTTGCGTATTAGAAGCACCATCAAGCAAAATATCTTATAATCCGCATAATACAACAATTGTTATTGGTGCGCATTTTACATCATCTGATCACTTGGCATGCTTATTTTCTTGTGATATAAATCGAAATAATGAATTTGTAACCGATGATTCTATCATTAAAAGATTGAAGCTATTTTGTTGGTAAGTAAAAATACTCTCAATTTATTTCTTATTTTAATGGCATCACAATAACTATTGATGTTATTATAGCTGTATAATTGATACTTGTGACGATTTTTTTGGTCATGAAAATATTAACTGGAGTACTACAAATGGATCGAAAATATTCCATTGTGGAGAAAAAAGATCTCTTTATCCTTTCGGTAAAAGAAAGGAAAATAATCGTTTACTAGAAAATATTAAAAAGAATGCCGAATATAATGATAAAACAATTAAAGATAAATGCCCATTTTTCGTGTATCACATTTTTGATTGTCCCAAAGATTGTAATCGCCAAGGATTTATCAATATTTCATCGAAAAATTTAATATATGGATCTTTAAATACTTATTCTTTGGCTAAAGAAATGATTAGATATTTTAATGTTCCACCAAAAACCAAATAACTATATATAATGACTATTTATACCAAAGCTTCTTATTTGACAATTTAAATTATTTTATAATACTTCTATGAGAGTTGATTAAATCATTAAGCTATCTAATTTCGGACAAAAAAAAGGTGTAATTACCTTGTTAAATAAAATCGAAGTTTGATATTTAGAAATTGATTCTTTTCAGTATATTATAGTGACATGGAAGTTTGGACAATGAACATGACCTAAAAAAGTCGTGGATATTATGCTGGGAAATTGGTATTCCACGGGGAAAGCTCTGGAATATTATTATTTTCGGTAGCAACTTGCCAAAATTGAGAATTTAAAAAAATTTTGTGGATTCCTGCTTGATGAATGATCACAATAATTTGAAAAATGCAGTAAATCCGCCCAAGTTCGAGTTGTTTTGCGATTTTCAAGTTTTTTTTTTATGTCTTCAACCATATTTTCTAAAGCTTTAAAATTTAAACGAACTGATTCTAGCCAGATATTTCGATTAAGTTTATTTCGTGTAAAATTTAGAATTGTTTTACTATAACAAATAATAACAAAATAATAAATAAACCAATATTGACAATTAAAAGAAATACGATGTTACTACCTTTCAAGCATATTGCACAGGTGATTTAAAACCTGTTCATCTGAATTTTCATTATTGTCATCATACTAAGTACAATGTCATTTTCATAGCTTCAATTGAATTATAATTTATTGGAATGTTTTCAATATCCATATGAGTATCTTGAAAGTTAAAATTATTTTGATTTTCGTCCTAATAATCAGATAGCTGTCATTCTGTTGTATCTGTAATTGTTAAAAATAAACTAAAATAAAGTAAATTATAAAATAATAAATAATGAAAACAAAATACCAAACATTCGTATTTTTGTATATCTTTTTAAAAATCAAATAAAATTATAAAATAATGAATAATAAAAGCAAAGTCCAAACATTAATATTTTTAGGTACCTTTTTAAAGTATCACGGTCTACTTAGTCAACTTTAGCTACGCATATAAAAAACTGGCTAATAAGATATGAATAACAAGTTCAATTATCCATATTTGTTTTATATTAATTAGGAAGCTAATTTTTTCATGTATTTGCTATTCTTTTTTGAATTCTTTTCTTTATGAAACTGTATAATGATTTTAATATAAAAGACAAAATTAATAGTGTTGATTAACAACATTATAAACAAGAATATAATATAAACTAGCTAACTAATTAATATACAATACTCTAAGTAAAAATCCTCTATATTAATTTAATAAAATAATATAATATTTGACCTACTATCTAGCAATAAAAAAAAATCAAGGGTGTGGTAACTTAATGTAGTTAGTAAGTTGTTGCATCTTCAAGCAGCAGAACAAGAGTTTGAATCCACTAGTGACAAAATTTGAATTTACAGAATGTATTATGAAGACTGTATCTTATTAAGTTTGCATCTGTAACATGGTCATACCAGCTAGTATTGGGAGATTGTGAAACTATAGTGTGAATAAGAGTTACACAAAACCTAAGTGAAGCAGCTATGTAAAACCAATGGATTAAAGGATACAGAAACCTGCTTGGCAAAACCCAAGTAGAAATGTAGTACAAATTTTTGATTGTACTATGTAAAGAATTATTAATTAAAAAATTAGAAACTAAACAGAACTAAAGTGTTTGGCAAATATTCTATTAACCAGGTCACTAGATGAGTAACTGGAGTAAAAGAACCCAATTGTAGAGACTAGGAGCAGATTATAGCCTTTTTGAATCATCAGAATTGGAAATTTGAAGAAACTAGTAAATACTTCATAAAGTGTTTACTGAGGTTTGATTAGGTAATAGTAGTAGTTTTAACTTGTAAGTACTTGTTTTTAAACTCAGTATAAATTATTAAAGCTCTAGCATGTTTATCTAGAGAATAGTGATACAGACCAATGCTAAACACTTGGGCTGACCTGGTTAACAAATTACTTAGGTTGGTGAACTAGTCAAATCATATTATTAAAAATTTCTTACCCAAATCAGAATCACAAAACAACCCTATAGAATGATCTTCTATCAATAATTTTAGTAATTTTTTAGTAATTTTATTGAACAAATTATCATATCTCCAAAAATTCTCAACAACCATGTTAATATTTTATGTTAGTTGATTGTCAACTATCTCAAAAATTTTCAACATACATTATCTTTTATTTTAGATAGCATCTCACAAAAAATTGTTCATCTTCTGTAATTTTGACCAATTAAAATTTAAGATCAAGTGTTAAAACAAATATATTTTTGTTTTTTAAGTAAAAAAATTGTGTAAAATGAAACCAAAAAAACCAAGTATTAGGATTGAAACAATCTGGCATCTCTTAGTAAAATATTATAAAGAATATTTTAATTAGGTTGTAAAAGATGATTTCATAATTAAAATTAGTTATTCTTGTTTTATTGTAAAAAAGTGAATTTGTTTTAATTTTTTATATTACAGCTAATCCTGAAATTCGATTGGTCAAAATAACAGGGTGAATAATTTTTGTAAAAGAGCTAGATGCATCTATTTTTTCTTTGATTCTGACTTAATGCTGGCCGAATCTATGATTAATTCCAATCTAATTTAATAACCTAGTCAAAGTCTGAAAACTTACATCAATTATCTTAGTAACTTATCATTTAAAACTCTAACTTATCTTATTTGACCTACTTGCTCTGTGAAGATGTAGATTGACTTTCAGCCTGCCTGTCTGCCTGGCAAATAGGCCAGAGTCAGCCTATATCTCTATTAGAGAACAAAGAGCTCCCTATAAAGTATGAGCCTGTTTTAAAGTTCTAAATTGGGTATTTGAAAATAATAGAATACTAAATACTCTTACTTGATTAGAAAATTAATATATATAGGTGCAGAGAGTTTAAATAAATAATTCTCTAGTCAGGTTATAGGTATGGTATTTAGTATAAAACTTAGTAATAAGCATTTTAAATAAACAACCAAAAGTTGTATATATAATTAGTTGTACTCTCCAAATATGTATATGGTATAGTGTATACCACATTGTAAAAGTTAAAAATAATCAAATAAAAAAAGCGACTAAGAGATCACTTTAATATTAAAAAAAATTAAAAAAATCTAAATTTTAAAAAAAAACTAGATTCCATCAAGTTTTTTTTTTAAATTAACTGTAAAAGCTAAGGAACTGAATAATTTATATTGTGCTGAATAAACTTACGAATCTCTTTTGTAGTTTGATAATGTATTGATCGCGAATTAGTTAATTGTATAAAATTCAACTTTAATTAAGTGTTATTTAGTTCAACATCGATTCATATTGTACCTTTACAATCATATTGTTGAAGCTGCATAGGTTTATCTCTGTTTATTAACATCCGAATTTTTAGTTTTGAGTTTACCAAGTTCTACTCAACAGTTGCACCAATAAATTAATTATGCTTTATTTTTATTTAAATTTTTGGATTAATATGCCCAATGATAACCATCTTTTTTCTCATGCCTTCTAGATAACCAAAGAGCTAATGTCTTCATAATTAATAGCTGATTCACTTCTAAGGCTGACTTCTTTAATTTGAATTTGTTCTAAAGATTTTTTTATTTGCTACGGAACAACTGTTCCCATTCTGTTTACATTACATTCATATACTCGTTCCTATTCCGTATGATATGAACCACAACCAATTTTTTTTATCCATATATGTTAAAGTTTTATATTTTTTAGCATACAACGTACGTATGGTATAACGATTAATAAAAAGAAAGGTTAAACATCACCATCATATGATAATCAGTACATTTTTTTATGGGCGATACTAGGATAGCTATTTTCACAATATATGTTTCAGTACATATTATTTAAAAGATTTTTACTACAAACTAGGTGCTTGAGATGCTTAAAGGGAGTTAGTAATGAGTGTAATATATTGTATCGTACTAGTACAGATTTTGATAAACATTTATGCTTAAATCAGCAAATCTTGAATAAATATACTAGATGGGTGAATGCTC